AGGTCCTAAGAGTCCATTTCGTACACAACCAACTGTGTGCACATTTTGAATGGGTACGAAAAAATAATAGTTTTCTCATTTGGCGCAGTTTCCAACTAACCGAGGTCTCTCAGTTGGTGCAGTCCAGTGGTTAAAGGGTGCAAATTGTATATATACAATTGAGGGTGCCGTGTATGATTTAAATGTCCCGCGGCTACACGGGGTTCACATTAGCTTCCTCAGGGCTCTAGTAAACAGATGTCATTTAAAAAAAAAAGAATTGTGGGTAACATTCCCGGGTGTGAGAGCCTTAGTATTGAGTGAGTAACTAAGGCTGGTGCATCCAGCATGAGCTAACAGCACTGCTGTTCAGCTTGTGACCACACAAGCCTAAAAATTTTAAAAATATATATGTAACTGGTATTATTTAGCAATGATAGTATTACTGAAGACCCCTGACTGTGATAAAAATGACCAGGATTCTGTTAACAGCAGGATTGTGGTGATAATTAGCGCTGTGCGTTGTATGGTGGAAGGAGTAATCTTGGTGAGGAAGGTAATATCGTCTGCTGACTGTGTGTAATTACATAACAGGATGAGAGCTACGCTTGTGGTGTCCCATCTCCCCAGCACTCTGTCATTTAACGCTTTGAAATTACTGATGGTTTTGGCCTCTACCACCTTCTCACCTAGCTTGTTCCAACCGTCTACCACTCTGTTTACAAAAGTGAATTTTCTTGTATTTCTCCGGCAGCTTTATTTCATTAGTTTAAATCTATGACCTCTTGTTCTTGAAGTTCCAGGTCTCAGGAATTCTTCCCTATCCATTTATTGATTCCTGTTACTATTTTGAATGTAGTGATCATATTGACTCTCTTTCTTCTATCTTCTAGTTTTTGCATATTTAATGCCTCTAACCTCTCCTCATAGCTCTTGTCCTTCAGTTCTGGGAGCCACTTAGTGGCATGTCGTTATGTGGCATGTCATGTGTGGCAACCTGTTAATGTCTGGACTTGCCATACCATCTTAGTGGTTCACTATGGTGAACACAAATGGAGATACAGTACTTATATATAACGTATATAAATAGTGTAATAACAGCAAAAGGAGTATGTTGGGAGGAGCTAATTTTGTGAGGGTGGTGGTGCTGTCTGTTGGCTGGCGTACTCACCTAGTTGTGCTTGTGGGGGTTGAGCTCTGGCTCTTTGGTCCCGCCTCTCAACTGTCAATCAACTTGTGTACAGATTCCTGAGCCTACTGGGCTCTATCATATCTACATTTGAAACTGTGTATGGAGTCTGCCTCCACCACATCACTGCCTAATGCATTACATCTGTTAACAACTGACAGTGAAAAAGGTCTTTCTAACGTCCCAGTAGCTCATTTGGGTACTCAGCTTCCACCTGTCTCCTCTTGTTCGCATACCACCCGTGTTAAACAATTTATCCTTATCTATCCTGTTAATTCCTGTGATTTGTTATGCTGTGTAGGATGGCCATTATGCTGTTTGGACACCATACCAGCTTAGTTGTACTGTTATGATGAACAAAACGTGTAGATACTTATATATAATGTGTGTGTATATATAGTGTAATAACAGCAAAACTATTTGTTTATTGTTTTATGAACATAATAATTGAATCACTAATATGCACACCATACTTTTGAGTATACTGTAGCGATGGTTCACATATTTTACTATATAATATATCGCACTACTCACTATTGAACCTGTGACCTGGATCTCCGGGTCACTTCTTGGCGCGTTCCTCTCCAGGTTTCCGGGACTGGCACAGTTGGTGGTGGGGCTTCAGGCTTGCCGCTTTTATTGCCTTACTTAGCTTGTAATTGGCACTTGGTGTATTTATGCATCTTTACCAGATCTTGGTGCCCTGTCTGAGTCTGCTTGGGATTTGGTGTCTGGCCTACTTCGACCACTGGCTGGTGTGGGCTCCCAGTCAGTCTACTTGTCTGCTCGCCATGGGTGTGTGGTTCTTTCCAGATCGCCAGATTTGGTTTCCTGGTGATCTGGAAGCCGTTCCATCTGTTTCCGTCCCAGGTTCGGACCTGGCTGGGTCTTGTGTAGGGCTCTTGGGCCACTCCTTGTCTTTCCCTCCAGAAGTGTTGCTGTGGCTGTGGTCCCGTTTCGGCTGTTTATGAGGGGGTCCTGGGTTGCTTGAGCGGTTGTGCGGGAGTCTAAACTTCGAAGTGCTGGTCTGCCCGCAGGGTCGGGTTTGGCTTTGGCGTCTGTTTGGTTCCTTCGGAGACATCCCTTCCACCTAGCTTGCATTCGTTGGGTTCGTCCTCCGGGGATCTTGTGTTGGTGCTGCGTCACCAGCTTCCTCTTTAGGGTTTTCGGGGTTCCGTGCCTTGGCACCTCCCCGAGCCTTCGCTCGATGTGTTTACGGACAGGTCATCTGTCGGCTGGGACTTTGTGACCAGTGCTCACCAGGTCAGCCGGGGATGGTGGGGTCTGTCCGTCCATCGGGCTCACAGCACGGTTCGGGAGTTCGTGGCTGTCTGGTTGCCGCTTCAGAGGGTTCGGGTCACTTGGTGCTCTACCAGCGAAAACCACTGCCAGTATTGGACCTATTCGTATTAGTGAAGGTTCATACACTGAGGATGACAAAGAAATTAGTGAAATCCTAAAAAAGCAGTATGAAGACATGTTTAGCACTCTGATACTCAGCATGAAAGTGGAAGATTCGGACAATTTGTTTATGAATGATACTCAAACACCTGTAAATATAACTGATATCAACACGAGCGTGGCAGATTTTGACAAGAGAAATTGACAATATGCCCATGCACTCGGCCCCGGGTCCAGACTTGTGGAATTCAATATTTATAAAGAAATGCAAAGTGCCAGTAGCACAGGCACTCAGTATAGTGTGGAGGAAGAGCTTGGACACAGGGGAGATACCAGATGCGCTTAAAGCAGCAGACATTGCCCCTCTACACAAGGGTGGTAGCAAAGCATTGGCAAAGAATTATAGACCAGTTGCACTAACGTCCCACATAATAAAAGTATTTGAAAAGAGTGATCAGGAGTCAGGTCACTAGATTCATAGAAACCAATGACTTCCACAATCCAGGCCAACATGGATTTAGAGCAGGAAGATCATGCCTCTCACAGCTACCTGACCACTATGACAAAATCACTGAGGCATTAGAGGAAAAACATAATGCAGATGTCGTATACACAGATTTTGCAAAGGCATTCGACAAATGTGACCATGGAGTGATTGCACACAAAATGAGGTCAATGGGTATAGCTGGTAAAGTAGGACGCTGGATACTCAATTTCCTGTCGAACAGAACACAAAGAGTAACAGTCAATCAAGTAAAATAGAGTCCGAGCGCAGTTAAACTCTGTACCTCAAGGCACAATCCTTGCACCGCTGCTGTTCCTTATTCTCATATCAGATATAGACAAAAACACAAGTCACAGCTTCGTGTCATCCTTTGCAGATGATACAAAAATCAGCATGAAAATTACCTCTGCTGAAGACATTGATAAACTATAAACTAGACATTGATAAACTACAAACAGATATTAACAAAGTTTTTGATTGGGCAGCAGAAAATAACATGATGTTTAATGGTGATAAATTCCAGGTACTCAGATACGGCAAAAATGAGGATCTTAAACATGATACAGGGTACAAAACACAATCGAATCTGCCCATAGTAGGACAGCAGCATGTCAAGGATTTGGGAATAATAATGTCTGACGACCTAATGTTTAGGGAGCATAACCAAGCAAGTATTGCATCAGCCAGAAAAATGATAGGATGGATTACGAGAACCTTCAAGTCCAGAGATCCCATCACAATGGTTGTACTCTTCAAATCACTTGTGTTGTCCCATCTTGAGTACTGCTCAGTATTCACTTTCTCCTTCAGAGCAGGAGAGATTGCTGAAATTGAGGGAATACAGAGAACATGTATGGCACGCATAGACGAGATAAAGCACCTAAATTATTGGGATCGTCTCAAAGCTCTCCAAATGTACTCACTAGAAAGGAGACGAGAGAGATACCAAATAATATACACATGGAAAATACTGGAGGGACAGGTCCCAAATCTGCACAGTAAAATAACAAAGTACTGGAGTGAACGACATGGAAGAAAATGCAGAATAGAACAAGTGAAGAGCAGAGGTGCCATGGGCACAATCAGAGAACACTGTATGAACATCAGAGGTCCACAGTTCAACGTCCTACCAGCGAGCATCAGAAATATTACAGGAACAACCGTGGACATCTTCAAGAGGAAACTAGATTGTTTCCTTCAAGGAGTGCCGGACCAACCGGGCTGTGGTGGGTATGTGGGCCTGCGGGCCGCTCCGAGCAACAGCCTGGTGGACCAAACTCTCACAAGTCAAGCCTGGCCTTGGGCCAGGCTTGGGGAGTAGAAGAACTCCCAGAACCCCATCAAGCAGGTATCAACCAGGTAGTAGTTCACACTCACAAATAATTATCCCCCCCAACAGTTCCGTAACACTCAGAAGTCGCTCAACGGATAATAATTATGCACACTCTGTTTTACTCTCAGTGCCTTGTTTTATTGCAACTAGACCACCCTGGTCATAACAACCAGTACCACTGAAAGCTCCACCAGTACTACCGAACCCTCTGTACCATTGAAACCATTGTTATCATCATCACAATTACAGTACTGCCACTTCCAACTCAGTCACCCTGTAATCATTGCAGTCCTTTTACTCATTACACTACCTTTTCTTTATCCTGAGATATGATGGCCTGGGAATACCTTTCTTGATTAATTGCCAAGGCTATCTAACAACGTCATCTCAAGAAATCATCTCAAGATAACGATACTAAATTTTTCAATAAGGAAGGCTTGTGATATAATTTGCCAAATTGTGTTAGTGGTACATTAATCTAAATTTTACGTACTATACATGAAAATTTTGACAAATATTATTCACATCTAGTTATCATGAATCTTTGTTGAGCAGTGATGTTTTATACAGCAGTTCTTCATTTATCCATACAGAACCACGTAATGGCGGGCTGGGGGAACACTACGCAGGACTGGGTGAGTGTTGTTTGAACTTTATACACAGTATTTAAATTCTTATTCTTCTTTCATTGAATGTTTTCAGTTGTTGAACTATTTTCTGTTTGCAGTCCTGGGTGAGGTTTTTCCATGTAGAAGGACTTTGTAATTTTGTTATGGTTGCTTTGTAGTGCTGTTATACAGGTATAGTATACGAATACAGTACATATAATATATGATGGCAGTTGGCAATGAGAAACTACAGTTCAGTACTTGAGTTGGCAATGAGAAACTTCATTGTTAATAACGGATGAAGCTACAAATCGGGTGAAGGCCTCCAGTACAGTACAGTACTGGGGAACCTTGCTCTGATAACTGCCATACGCTGCACAACAAACAAAACTTTCAGGATATGAAGTGACCATTGTATGCTTTTCTTTAGTGCATTGAGCAAGAACAATGAAATGTAGTGAGCCTTTGATATCATGCAGGGATACATTCCTTCAAACCTGCCTACTTCGTAAAGTATTTTGTTAAGGGTGTTGTGGGAAAAATATGATCTATTCCAGGACAAAGAACTTTATTACACTATGTAAAAAATTAATGCTCTGTTTTCAATACAGTATCGTCAAATGTTAATGTTTATAAATATAAAAAAACACAAATGAAATATTTTAGTACCTGGTAATTTTTGGCTGGACAATAGAGAAATCAAGGATTTCTGCAGTTTAGTTTTTTGTGTATATCCATCATACACTGGGCAAAATATAGGATTCACTTGGTAGATGCACACCCACCGTGAATGTTGGAGGGAGGGGTGGGGTGGGGGGGGGCAGAAAATGGTGTATTGTATCATCTTATAATAATTTTCAGATTACATTTAAAATATTGTTTAGGGCACAAGATTAGAAGTGGTTGGAGCTATGGAAAATTCATTGCATATAGTTCAAGCTCAATTCTTATATTTGTTTTCAGTTAGTTATGAAACTACTTTTGGAGGAAGTGTTTAGGGGCTGGGCTGTGGGAAACACAAGTGATGAGCTTAAGTACTTTGCACAGGCATATTATACTGGTGGATATTAAATACTTTACACAGGCATATTATCCTGGTGGATATCCATGATATGAGGGTGTGAAATTATGATTTCTCGATACTGACTAAGCTTACTTACCTGGAGTATATGGGCAGGACCCCTCTCTGGATAAGCCGGACATCCGAATAAGCAGGAATTTTTATCGGGAAAGTCCAAAAATAAACATATTGTATTCGTAAATTTTTGTACTGCAACCAGCATAATCTGAGTTTCCACACACACACATACACTAATTTAAAAATATACATGTACTGTAGTTTATAACACACTTCAGCTTACCTTGTTGTAGTTCATCATCTTGGTTGATACTGTAGATTTTGAAATTTGTAGTTCATGAAAATTTACTTAACGTAACCTAACACAGCACTAAAACTACTATTACGTGAGCTTGGCATGGTCAGTTCTGACTGACAGCTGCTGAGGAATTGCTGGTTGTTGAAGGCTCTTGGCTTTCTGGTGAGGCTTCACGTTTCCTTTTCACAATATTGTGCCTCGCTTTAAACCTGGAAATTCAATCATCACGTGCCCTGAAATCTGGTACAGTATTCCAATGCTGGTTGCAAACCTGCTTGCAGCATTTCTTATTTCTGCCCCATGAATTGCCACACCAACTGTGTGGGAGAAGCTGTGGTGCTGTGCAAACCACTTATATACAGCCTAATTCAAATGTGCATGATGTATAGGCTTCCAAGTTTTTCTATTATACCCTTTTACTACTGTAGTGCAAACTCCCTCAGTCTCGCTACTGTATTTCATGTAGTCGTCTTTGTTGCCTTATACCAGAGACAGTACTAGTGCCTTTACTAAAATTCTTTGCAACATTCAAAGCCAACTGGCTATTTTCACGGTGTTCAGTGACACGTAGCTTATCTTTAATGGTTAGCACAACTTTCTTCCCAGCAGAATGGCTCGAACAGAAGTGGTAGTAATCATGAACACTGAAACTGAATAGTACAAAAGAATAGCCAGAAACTGCTGCAGCAGAGATGGAGGGGAAACACCAATGCACCCCTCTCCATTCCAGACTTACTGGGAAATTACCAGCATCAACTCAGACTAGCAGGAAGGCCAGGTGTTGCGCATTCTACAATCCCCTCCTCATCAACCCCCGACTGGGGGATGACATGGTGAAGGGATCCTGGATTGTACCTGGATGAGGTTCTGGGCATTCTTCAACTTTCCAAGACTAGTCTTGGGCTAGGCTTGACTTGTGATAGCGTAGTCCAATAGGCTATTGCTTGGAGCAGCCCACAGGCCCACATATCTACTACAGCCTGGATAGAAGAAGTGTGTCCATTTTTTTCTTAAAGACTTTCACTTTTGTTCTGGCAATATTTCTTAAACTTGCTGGAAGGATATTGAACAACTGTGGACCTCTGATATTCATAACGTTCTTTGTGTCTATGGCACCTCTACTCTTCGCTGGCTCTGTTCTGCATTTCCTTCCATATCATTCACTTCAGAATGTTTTACTGTGTAAATTTGGAACCTGGCTTTCCAGTGTAAGCCACTGCCATAATCTAGAAGTTGGAAAAGCACACCCCGAAAAAGAATCAGAAGCCCAGCCCACACCTGACACTGGGTCAGAGGAACTGAGGCACATTCTGTATCTGGGGTAAGGTTCCTTGAGAAGAGAAGACCCCCAAGGGGCAGATTCCTGAGGCCTCTCATAGAAGAGAACCCTGACCAACCCTGACTAAAGGCAGGGACAATGCCAGCACCAATCAGAGAAGGCATCTCTTACCTCTCCACAAGCAGCCAAGGCTGCTAGGTTTGGAGCCAGGACAAGGCTGCCAGCCAGGTGGGTACCTCAGGGAGTCACAAAAGGATGCTCTCCCAGAAAGAGAATCTACTGTTTTTTAATGTTTCTCTGATCATATCTTAAGGATTTTTGTAGATAAACACAGTGCTAAAATTTTGGGGGGTTGATTTACATTCTTAGACACTTTAACACTTACGCATCGAGATGTTGATCTCGCAGTCGTCAAAACAATACGCGCAGTGTGGGACATGACGTTAACGTAGTCAACAAATAAAATATATGTAAAAATTCCATTTTCAGTATTGTCCAAGTATTATGGGACTTTTTAAAATACTCACCAACATCTTCCCATTCTCTGTATACCTAATGTGGTGGCATAACACCGGTGTATGGATGGCCACATGACAATGTACTTTATTTTATGGTATTGGTAATGTTGTTGTTCTATTTGATCTTATATACATATATCCCTTTAGAGCATTCTTTTGCGAACAATTTGATACCAAAATGAATGACATAGCATGAAAATTAAGGTGAGAAAACTGGAAAGAATATAAACATTGGAGTGTGGTTGTGCGCTCACGGGCAACGCTCGGTCTACCTTGCGCTGCGGGTGGCCGGCCCACCAGGCCAGGCAAAGTGTAACATTTCTTGGTACCAAGGACTCTTATTAAAATAAAAAGCAAGAGCTAACTACACTAAACCAATAAGTGCAGCTAGATGTGTAGCTTAAAGTGTATGGCATAAAACTCCATTACACAGAACTTGCAGGTTACTGCATTACAATTCTTACTTCTTGTTTTATATTTGCTAATGAAAGCTGTGTGTATAATATTCTGAATCATATTTTTGTCAGTTAGACTTGTAATTAGGTGTAAAAATGCCCGCCATTGCTTTCACTACTCAGGAACCCAGATACAGAATTTGACATTCTAACTACAGTAATTTAAAATTGCTTATGTATTGCTATCCTTTATTCTCTTAAGATTTTTTGTTGCTAATGGGTGAAAGTGAGCATACATACTCGGGTTTCTTCACTGTGGAGAATATTCATATTATAAATATTATATTCTGTACAGTATTTGTTAAATCTCACTGTGAACAGTTACAACTTCCCTGACATTTCAACAAGACAGTTTACACAGAATCTGACACACAGATTCTGTGAAAGATGATAAATGTCTTTGATACAGTACATACAATACATTAAATAGAGAAACTTTATAAACTAGGTAATTGTTTTATAAAGCAATCACCTTTACCAGTTTTATAGAATCAAAATCTAAAAGGCATAACATATGCACCTAGATTTTGTGTTATAAAATATCACGTAAAAGTGTGGAAATAAGTGTCGTATCTTCACTTTATTATTAGTTTTTATTAAGTTGTGGTTGTTTTTCGTATTAAGCTTTTAAATGGTTTTAATTTTAGGGAGAATGTTAAAAACTGTGCAGAAGTTGTCAGTGATGTTCTTTTCATAGAATATTGTACTACTGTAAACTCGTAACATTTTACAATTTTCTCCTAAAACAAAAAATGAAACAAGTCTTGATTTATGCTTGTGTGAAAGTAAGTGAAAGTGAAAGCTTCATTACACCCCCCCCCCCCCCCCCCCCCCCCCCCCCCCCCCCCCCCCCTGGAAAAAAATCAAAGTACCTACATCACTATAATACATATATGAAAGTTTGTGATCTACTAGGTTAGTGTTGTGAAATATCTTCTTAAATAACCCTGAAGCACTTATAGGAAAGTACAAATCCATCTTAAACCTTTCTTCAAGACTATACAAGACAACTGATTTATTATGCATTTATTATTTTGAACATGGCATATGATAGAGCAATCTTTGGCAATCAGTACCATATCAAAGTCATAATTATACAAAATTTATTAGTGGGCGCAAGCATTACACAATGACCAAGATTTACACAACAAACTCTACCAATCTTGATATGAATATTAAAAAAAAATATTTATATAGTATATAATAGAGCAATCATTTGGAAACAATATGGTAAGATAAGATATTTATTCAAGTAAAGGTACATGCATTGAAAATGAGTTACAAACATAAGGTCGGATTAATAGATAGAGCTAGTACATACAATGCCTAGAGCCACTAATACACACAGCATTTCGGGCAAGGTGTGGGAAAAAAACTTAGACTAAAACTTAATAGTAAT